AAACGGATAGACTGATGTTTTTCTAATATATTTTTTTATTGATGAATATCATATTTTAATACTTTTTATCCTATTCCGGACGAAGACAAATCCAAAAACACAAAAATCATAAAAATTGGCCAAGCCGTTCTTGAGTTATAAATGGTGTAACTAACACGACTTTGTTTTATGTATATAGATTTTGCATTTGCATGCAATACTAAATAGTAACGAAAAATCTTTCAAAATGTCACCTTGTTTTGTACTTGAGTTATTATAGACGTTTTTATATTACATAGAAGTAAATAAATTGAACAAGTACGAGTCTGACTTGTAACCTTATCAGGACAGGTAATATTTATAGAATACCTGGTTTTGATTAAATTTCACCATAGTCACTCGTGTTTTTGAATTTCGTTATTTTAATTTACAATACAAAAAAATCAGACGTATTCTAATTTCAAGTTCTAAAATTAAAAAAGTTACCATAAGGCTTATACTCCTCGTATTTTCGGAATGGTAATGTTAAGTTTGTTTCATAATAACCAATTTAACTTGCTAGATAACATTGAAATTTTCTTCGAAGGGCTTATTTAAATAAAGGGAAGAAAATCTAATGTTTTACAGTTCGGTAAAATAAATATGTTACGTAATGTGTATTCAGACTTTTCCATACGTTTGTAACTCAGTAATTACAAACTATGACTTCTCTATTATTTTTCACTTTTAGTGTATCCTTGCCAGTGTTTTAGGAAATCATTTTAACCGCACATTTTTAAATGTGTGTTTATCTTAAACGCTTGTTAGACAACCTTTTATAGTTATTTTTATTACAAACAAAGCATAAAATTTAAGCGTTGTGATTTTTCAATTATAGAATAAAGCGTAATAATAATAAACGTTTATTTGAAAACATGGGTGAAGTAGTAAAGTTGTTACAAAGATTATTTTCGTTCCTCCATATTCCACCTTGTGGCATGCAAATATTTCAAGATATTTTGTATATTACAATTTCACTAAAACATTTCAAACATAATTCATAAGTCACAACATCAATATAAATGTTTCTATGAAAAAAATAATATAATGTCAGAATTTGTGTCTAAAAATAACAATAATTTTGATGTCAATTAAATAGTAGATCATGAGTCAAATTAATTAATTAGATTGTAGTAGATAGAATTGTATATTAATTATACTAGATATTTGTCTTCTAAGTATTAATTACCACTTCAGTATATTTTTTGTTGTAATATAATCTTTAATTTCAATTTCAATTCACTTATGCTATCCAATTTACATTATATTGGCAGGAAAATTGTTGTAAATCCTAGACGACATATAAAATATGCTTCTGATTATAAGCGATGTTTTATTAGGCATCGTTTTTATTTTATATTTACGATAACGGCCATTTAAATGAGTGAATAAGTGCATATTTGTCTTCATAAACAGCGACCGATTATATAATATACAGGCATGGTGAGTGAGTAAATTAAGACTTTTAAAAATTAGTTTACAGCTGGCAGTACTCTTAAGTCTATAAATGGCTTAGTCAATATGTAGGCGTTTAGCGTTGTGTGACCTGAAATCCACTTTATTCTGTGTTTTTTAGCAAGAGACAAGCAAGAGTTTTTTTTTTAAAGAATGTTGTGCTCTGACTTTTATGTACTAGCATTTTTTAAATTCTATTTATCTTGAAGTCTTTGAAAATATGTATGAAGTTGAGTATAAAACACACAACGTAACGGATGTTTTAATCTTAAATGCACCTCTTGTATGATCCGACGATCCTTTAAATTAGACGACGACTTGCCTTTATCTTTTCAACAATTAAATTCAATTGAATACCTATGACATTGCTTTGAACAATTATTTACATTATATGTAATAACAAAACGAAAAATGTCGTATCTCACAAGGTGCTTCATTGAAGAGTGCACCAAAAAACATGGCCAATAAAACAAATATCTTGCTGGCACGTCATTAAATAAAATACTTGATTTTTTAAATTTATATTTTATTTATTATCCTCTTAAAAATTTTTGAAATAATTTTAATTTAATTTTAAAATCATAAATCTGCTCATTCATTGACTGTTAGGTGGAACGAAGTTCGCCGGGTCAGCTAGTTTTTCATAAAATTACATTTTTAATTTCTGTGTTCCATTTTTTAGCTCTGCATCGCCCTACAGTCGACTGGGACTGAATGCCTACGGCATTAAGTCCGCCTTTGTCTTTTTGTGTATACATATATAATATATATATAGAATATATATATAGAGACAACAAATACCGCAGAATTTTATTTAACACTTTTTAAGAGCAATAATTCCATCATAAATGTTTTGTTGCGTGACCATAGCAGTTTACGCAGCTAAAGCTCTCAAAAGTACGCAACGAAAGCTATCAAAAGGAAAAAAAACGTTTTCGCAACATTTTTTGTTGATGCTCCGCTCCTACCAGTATTGATTGTTTGGCAAAAAATTAACTCTTCATCTTTATAATATTAGTAAAGAAAACGTTTATTACTTAATTGATATTTTAAGGGACACGGTTCTCTGACTGCCCGCCGCACGTGACGTAGCGAATCTGCGTACGAATGTTATTTATGAAAATATTTAGCTCAGGGTTTCTCAGCCGGATTTTTACCACAAAAGGTTAATGAGCGGGCAATGAGACGAACAGACTTTAATTTATTTTTATTTATTTATTAGGCCACCAACGGCGAGTACCTTCACTATTACAATGTATTTACAAACGTATAAATTTTATAGCTAAGTATCACCCCACTTAGAGGTAGGCACAGCATGGACCAACAAAACTGCAATAACAATTTACAAAAAAAAACAATGTGAACTTAAAAAATATTATAAGACTTAAAAAAAAAGAAAAACAAACTTAAATTGAAAAATAAAATCCTAAAACCATACATTTCTTGTATCCAATACAGTTCTCTTGATTCGAGGCAAGGATGTAAAGTTAATATCTATTATATTGGCATAAGGTTGAAAGGCGGCAAAAAATCGGGCCATTGAGCAATGCGATTTAAGACTCGTGTGGCATTTAGGTCTATAGAAATATTCTCGCCTAGTACATACAAGACCTGGCGTTCAATCCGGGAACATTGAGGCCAATCAAAAATCATCAATCAATCATTTGACTGCACGGATGGCGTAGTGGTCTAAGTGGTCGCAACGCCGCTTACTACTACACTGAGTGTTGTGGGTTCGATCCCCACACTTTGTGTGATCCACAAATAGTTGTTCTGAGACTGGTTGTTCTTTGTGTCCGTTTCATGTATGTTTGTAAAGTCCCCCGCGACACAGAATATACTCCTAATGCGGGAGTTGTCTTTTAAAAAAGAAATCCTGCTGAGAAACAATCGGGGCAATTTATGGTTCCTGTAATTTGTGCAGACTTCTTTCAAATTAAATAGGTAAATCTATTACATTCATTCCTACTGTCTAATTTATCATTGCGGTTAAGTAAGCGGTAATTACTCTCCGTACTCTACTCCGTAATTACTCTGCTGCGCTGTCTAGAATTGAGCGGGTTCATTTCAACTATTTCTTCCCGCTCAGTCCTTTTCGTACGACTATTTGTTGGTGAAAAAACAAATATGCAGTTTTCTCTTGCGAATTAAACGGAGTCCTCAACGGGTCCGTTCGCGGTGGAAATCGGCTTTAAAAGTGGATAGGAGTGTGATGCTCTAGCCGACGCGTTTCCACACGTCGCCTTATTCAAAGTACATTCATATTATACGAGTATATATTCTTACGGCTATATCCCCGAAGACGTAAATAGCGGTGTATTAAGTGGCCATATTTTTTTTATTTTAATCATAATTTTAATACCACTCACGCTATGGGTGGTAAGCCCATTGCCGTCGGAACTTGAGGAGTTAGATGGGAAAACTTGTTGTAAGTTCGCTGAGAAAATAAAAGTCGATAAGATGGCAATGCAATGGTGGGAAATGGATATCGCTTGGTTGACTAAGAATACGAAGTGTCATCAACCCATTCATCCCGCGGGTGTCGTAAGAGCCAACTAGGAGAGCAAACTACTCTGGAAAAAGCACTGCAAAGAGAAGGAAAATTTGAAAAATCCCCTATACCAACTCGTCTGGCCCAGTTTAGTAGGTGGTATAGTAGGCTAAAACCTCCTTTCTAAGGAGAAGCATTTGTCCAGCAGTGAAAGGCTGTTGATGTGATGTGAGATATTGCTCATTCGGATAGCTTCATGGAATAAAAGCAGAGAAGGAATATGATTTGATTCTAAAATAAACTTGTTGCGTGAATCACATTTTCAGCTACCGATAACTATTTATGTTTTTATCAGTTTATCACTATCCGAAATGGATTACTTTACGCTTCATTATATATTTAACAATCCGAAACCGTATTAGCTTTTTTGTAAAAAACTTTACTTAAATTGATTTTTTTAATTTATTGTAAAATTAGATGATTTGAATAGGACATATTTTTTAAATTTACAAATTCACTTTAATAGTTAAGTTATTGCTAGCAGTAGGGATACTCTTTCTAGAATCTCTTCTTCTTAGGCCGATTACCGTCCACTGCTGAAAGAAGACCTCCCCTAAGGAAACATTGAAATGAAAAAAAAAAATTGTTTAATAATAATTATTTGGACAATTAATTCTCTAGAATCTCTACTGGTTTTAAAATGCAAGGCTAATTAAATGAAAAAGAAGTGTTAGTTTCTTTGCCAGATTTCTGATCTTTAAATATTCACCTTACATTTAGGTGTGAAAAATAACGAGCTGTCTACTAAATTAATTGTTATACATAATTAATCTAATTTATTTTGTAAATTAAAATCTTGATGTTATATCAGCAGGGCTTAAAATCTTAACTACTGGTATAGATAATTTAATTTTATTATACTATTCACTGTTTGTATATTATACTGTTTACATTATAATTCACATATATTTTAAAGCGGCTGATTGCTATCCTACGAGAACAACAGCAATCGTATTTAGTTTTTTCAATTCTGCAGGTAACAATTGGGATTGTAATGATGGAGGACTGGATTGGCTGGCGATGGAACCAGAAAATGGAACGCTGAAAAGAAAAATAGCAGACTATTATGACCTTGTATGTCAACAACAACTCTACAAAGGAAAACCTCTGCATATCGTCATGGATATTATTAAGGTAAGTTTTTATTTAAAATTTTCACAAAAATGTACAAGCATAGTTTTATGTTTATTATTTACAGAAAAATGTTTGGTGGCCATTATGGTACGACAAGATTCTACTGTTATTTACGTAAATGGAAAGTAATCATCTTAATTTTCTTTCTTTCTTTCTTTCTTCTTTCTATCTGTGGCTGACAGTGCCTCTGAAGATAAGTCCGAATCTTCATTCATCAACTCCTGATTTTATTTTATTTATTTATTTACTCTCGGAATATGAATGAGAATGTTTAAAACAAATGGAATTTTCCGCATTCATCAAGTTCGCCTTTAGTAGTCCACTGCTGGACATAGGCCTCTCCTTAGAAAGGAGGTTTCCATCGATTTTCCGCATTGTTTAGGGGCAATGGAAGGTAATGGCAATGGACGGCAATGGACGTCGTTGCCCATTTTGTCACTAATATAGTACTTCAGGGCATGGGACTGTTTGTTCCATCTACACTTATTCCCATTGGTGGCAACCTTGTTCAACAGCCTTGGTTCAACAGATCCTGCAAAACGGCGTCCTGCCAAATGCAGGAATTATACCAAGCATGGGCTAATGCAGCGACGAAAGGTGATGTAAGGCACCTAAAAAACGCCCGCTAAAAAAGGAACAACACTTTGCCTTCAGATCCCTTAAAAGAACCATTGCCAGGGCAAAATCGGAGAACATCAGCCGGATTGTTGAGAAACAATCCGGCAAGAATGCACGAGTTCCAGAAGGAAGTCCGAAAGTCTCTCGACTGGTGGGACTTCCTTCTGGAACTCGTGCGTTCTGGTCTCTTGCCAAGGCAGACCAGGGGAATTTCTGTAGCCAATTCCTTCCACCCCTGCAGATGGGCGATAATTCGTTGACCTATGATGCCAAGAAGAAAGCCGATCTCCTAGGCAAACTCTTTGCATCCAACTCGACTTTGGATGACGGGGGAAACGTACCGCCGACCATAACGCGGTGCCAGAGCTGTATGACAGAAAACCGGTTTACACAGAAATCATACAGATATTCATGAGAAGACGTGAGTTGGCACCGGTTTTAACTCGCCTCTGTCGACTCTTCTGCTCTCTAGGCGTCGTTCCGAACTCCTGGAAGGTAACGTTTGTGCACCCAATTCCTAAAAAAAGGTAACCGCTCTGATCTGTCCAGCTACAGGCCTATAGCCATAACTGCCTTGTTCTCTAAGACTATGGAACCCGTAATCAACTTCCAGCTCCTCCGGTCGAATATCACCAGCTACTCAATGACCGACAATATGGTTTTCGCCGGGGTCGCTCAGCTGGTGATCTTATCTTTTATGTAACACACCGGTGAGCATAGCCGATCGACACCAAGGGAGAGGCTTGTGCAGTAAGCTTGGACATAGCGAAGGCCTTCGATCGGGTGTGGCATAGTGCGCTTTTCTCGAAGCCCCGTTATCGACGGTGCATGTTCCGACTTGAAGTCAGTAAATGCTTGTGTCCCGCTAAGCTGGGTTCTATCACCCACACTGTTTCTTCTGCATATCAATAATATGTTACAAACTAGTGGCATCCATTGGTATGCAGATGATAGCACGGGAGATGCCTTTTATACCGGCCGTCCCAATATTTCTCGGGAAAACGTCATCGAGAGTCGAAACGAACTTGTGTCTGAAGGTGAAGCTTCCTTAGCGGAGGTTTCGGCTTGGGGTCGTCTGAATCTGGTCCATTTTAACCCAAAAAAGACACATGTTTGCGCGTTCACCGCGCATATATCAGTGCGGGCGCCGCGGCTTGCTCACTCCTCAACGACGATTAACGAGCATACACGCACCTCGCCTTTATACCTTATAATGAAATTAATTCAATTATACCAGCGTTACAATCCTGTCGTGGTTTAATTTATACAAGTCCAGAGTTCACTCCATACTTATAAAAGGGCACTGGGCCCACAGAGAGTGATCCGAGGAATTGTTCGGACTAATACCAGCCGCAACCTTCCGCCATCGTTCAACACGGCAAAATTTAGATAATTGGCGCTCCACCACTGTGCGCTTTTCAAGACAATTTTTGCCTCGCGCTACCAATCTGTGAAACAAGTTATTGGCTGCGGTATTTCCGGCCCGATACGACCTTCAAACTTTCAAGAAAAGAGCGTACTCCTTTCTCAAAGGCTGGCAACGCACTTGTGACTCCTGAGTTGCAGGCGTTCATGGGCGGCGGTAGTCGCTTTCCATCAGGTGACCCGTCTACTCGTTTGCCCCCTATTCCATAAAATAAAATAAAAAACATGTGGTAATTTTCCTCTCTCTCTCTCTGGATATGGATCAGAGTATTTTAACTATAAAAATCTGCATAGCCTGGTTTTACTGGCAACCGTAGATGGAAAGCAACAATTCATACTTTGTGATTTTGAACCTAAAGACAGTATTTCTGATAGATGCTGGAATACTCACAAGTACAAGGTTTTTTTTAAAAATTGGAAAATAATGAGTTGTGCATTCTTGGTGCTAAAGCTGCCACAAACAAAACAAGGAGTTTGCCTTAGTGCTCGTATACGTTGCGGATGATGCGTTTTCAATGAGAACAGATTTAGTGAAACCACTTAGAAAGCAAGATTTGGCCACTCATGAAGAAATATCTCAATTACCGGGTGTAACGAGCACCACCGATAGTCCAAAATGCTTTTAGTATCTTGGCATCTTGACTTTGAATATTTCACACAAAAATTTATATTGAATTGAGAAAAATAGAACGTGTTGTGATGGCCAGTTGTGCTTTTCATAATTATTCGATTATATCATCGCAAAGCTCCTATTTTCAGACAGAATGCTTCAATACAGAAAACTGTTATGAGGGAGCTATTACCAAAAAGATTTAAAACCAGGTTTTTTTCCACGGTAAATTTGGATAGAAGAAATTTTGTAAGTGAATAACACCATGAAGAGACCACCAAATAGTTATAATTACCTTTTTATTGGTAAGCTTTGCTTTTTGGCACTTTTGCGGTGTTCGACCTGGGGTCAGCCGTTGCATTTTTCGCTTACAGTTATCGTAATAATATTTATAATATTATAATAATTGATAGCCGTTTCTGTTGCGTTAGTTCCGCGTCCGAACTCGTATTCAATAATGACTCGGAGTTTCGAAGTATCCATCTTTCACGTCTAAGCTGAATAGAAAAAACAGTTGAAAGTCGGAAATCAAAAACTCTCACCATGAAGTTTTTATGTCAATTCAAAGTATCTATTACTATATAACGGCAATTTCGTTCTTTAAACCCTACTATTACAACCTCACACAAAAATAATCGTGCTTATCAAAAAATCATTTGTCCTAGCAGTCAAGGTCAGTAACGACTGGACCAACAGGCCCGTCGTCAGATTTATGAACTTTCAAGTAAACATCAATAGTTTGAATTTTTATGTGTATATATACAGGATTACCGGGTTAGTCGACCTAAATATTTGCCATCATTTCTGATAGATTTTACTATGAAGTACATAGCCCCAAACCTTACCATTTTCAAGATATTGGACTTTTAAGATTTTATATAAAAATTGCTGAACTTTTAATTTTTTTAATACAATTTTTCAGAACTTATATCATTTATTTTATGCTTATTTTACTGTTTTTGTGTAGTTGATAAATTGTTTTATAATTTCAATTTCTAAAATTGTAGTTGACTTAATAAACTGGGCCGAAGTAAATGGATAATAATAGCAAAAATAAATAGAGTTGTATTATTTTTTTCTTTCTCACGGATACTGCCGGCTCGTGGGTGATTACATAGCAAGCGATCTCGGCGGTCGAGATGTTATTAAGTTGGACGGAGTCAATCGAAAAATTAGAGTGAGCAGCTCTGTTTCAAGGCAACGATCTGATCTGGGTACATCACGTTTCATTGATGAAGATGATGAAGACGCCGATGAGATAGTTCAACTATTTACATTGAAACCAACAACTTCAACCAATATTGTATTCCTACAACTTAGACTCTCACAGTGAAAAGTGTGCTATGTGTATAATATAGTGGACTTATATCCAAATCACTATACGCCACTATTACAAGTTATTGAAGAAGGAGATACTTTGAAAAAGTTAGATTTCTGCAGATTTAGAAGACAGAGACAGAGAGAGATATTTTATTTCTGAGACATTTCATGGACATGAGTCCAAATGATTAAAATGTTAATTATTGGGCGCCAAAAGCACTGATAAATCCTAATATTCGCGAGTTAAGGGGCCACAAAGACGCTTCAATGTGAATGTGTAGATGGGTATTGTCAAACCACTGGATTGCATCTTTTTTTCTGACCGAGAACAGTACGAAAACTTTTTAGGAACAAAATTTAACTAACTTTCTTGATGTTTTACTAGTTAATGTCATTCGCGGCATGTGGTTTCAGCATGATAGTTGCCCTGTGCGTAAGGAATGTAAAATAATGGCTGGATTCTAATTATCGTAATAAGTGGCTTGGATGAGGTGGTTTGGTGGCTCGTGAGAAAACGCGTTGGGAGTATCCGTCCGAAATCAGAATATCAGCATATTCATCGTTCGTATAGGTTGTCATTTTCAACAGTATCAAAGCTTGTTCTTCAGAAGCAGAAATGAAAGTCCACTTGGCAATAGTTAGTCACGAATAGAAAACGAAACAGTTCAAAAACCAAGCCAAGCTTAACACTCCCGGTCTGTTATATATGTTTGTTTCCATGCATTCTGATGCTATCCTAGAATTTTATACCTTGTTAGATAGCTAAAAATACGTACATGTTTTCTAACGAATCTGCAGTTTAACTGTCATAGATTCTTCTTATATTATTCGACAAAGAAAAAATCATTTTACATACTTATTTACTTTTGGGCTATACAAAAAAAAAAGAAGTATATAGAAGTTCTAAGTAAAATTGTATTGGGTAAAATTGTAAAGTAAAGGCCCTTAAAGTATGTAGGTCGACTTACCCGGTAACCCTGTATATATATTGCATTGTTTTATTTCATACTATAAGTTTACATAGGGGATTTCTGTAAATATTTAGGTACTTAGTTCACTGACTGTACCGATATCAAACTTTTTACTATAACCTAACAAAAGCTAGACAGGCTGGACATGTACCGGTCACTTGGCAGCCGTAATTGTCGGTATGACAGAACCCATTGAACTTTAAACGTTTTCTGTCTTTGTTTTTGTGTCTAAATTGGAACGCGAAGATTTTGCTTCTTCTTGGTCGTCCAAAAATTGCAGCAATTGGTAATACCACAGTTTTCCAGACTTCTTTGAATCAGCGACTTTCTTACGTCCTTTTTGTAGGTAGAACGAATGTTGATGATTTTTTTAAACCACAGCGTTTTTATCGGCGTTTGAATCTATAACTTTCAATTTTCTAATCAGCTTACGGTACGCCATTTTTTTTCAATTCAGGATTGTGATATTTTTTGGATTTAATTTTCCATAAACAAGGTTCATTTTGATACATAGCAATAAACTCTTTGAGCCATTCATTGGTGTGCCACTTTGCAAGCGCGTGTTTATCGACCACTGGCTAAGCCATACACGCGAAAACTGACCGCGCTCCGCTCTCCCCACGTTATGGGTGGCACACACTCTAAGAGAAATCGTTGCGATTTCGCCGTACCGTTCACATTGTACAGTTACATCGTACGTCCCTATAACTCATACACGTTCAAGTAAAACTGCTCAGTTTATTTATTTCGTTCCGCGATTGCTTCGACCGACGACACATTAGCTATTCTAGCATTGTCTGTTGATAAAAAAACATGAAGTTGAAAAAATCAGAAAAGAAACAGGCCGATCAGGTGTAGTTTGAACGGTACACTCAAATCGTAACAATTTCTCGTAGCGTGTGTACCACACATTAGTAACATGGTAATTTCTTCACCTTCGCAGTTTATTCCAAGCTTTTAAAAACGAGACAATTATTGTGTGATTTTTTTATTGCTTCTATTTTCTATTATAATATCATAAAGATAACATTTATCAGAATTTCTTGTATTGTTATTAATTGTGTCAGAAACAGAAATAACAAGGAGTACTTTTAAATTAATTAGAAATAAGACAATGGATTTCCGTGTCTGAGCCAATTAAAAATTATTGATATTTTGTTAAAAAGTTTTTAATCCCTTTTTGTATACTTTATAAAGCAGTTTATTAATTAAACTCAATTGCCTCACTAGAAGGCGGAAAACAATGTTTGAGGCATTTCAAGTAATCTGAGGTAAAATAACACAGTATATCGTCGACTGGTTTGTTTGTCTAGTGGTTAGTGACCCTGACTGCTACGCCAGAGGTCGTGGGTTCGGTTCCCATTCAAGACCAATAATTGTGTGATGAGCACGGTCATTTGTTATCTGTCTGGATATACTTTATCTATAATATGTAAGTATTTAGGAATATATGAGTATGTTTATCAGCAGTCTGGTTACAAAAAAAATGGTTGTACTATTTAATGATATAAAATCACCTTCTTCGTGGTCATTTGTAGTTGTAGAATAGTTTTTAGATGAATTTTGCTGTTCGGGGTTTTTTGATAGTTTAAATCGTTTGCATCTAGGAACCGTAAACTAAAATACACTGTCAAAGAAGCTCAGTAATATGATTAAATGAGAAAAAAAAATTAGTGAGAACACCATCAACAAACAGCAAAAAATAACCAAAAAGATACCTACCTAGTTTACTTCAACCAATCGAAAAATAGTAAACTGTAATGACTTTACGGCCAATACGCTAACGACATGGCAAAATATGGTGGCTGCTGAAAAATTATTACTTTTTATCATAAATAAGTCATAAATTATTAGAATTCTTGAACTTGACCTGACTCTTTGTTTCTTTTCACATCTTGGCTATTTTCTAATCTCTATCATTGAAATTTACCCACTTAGTTTTATTAGCTTATTGTATATATAGTTACCAACGAACTGTGTATTAAATTAGACAAAACAACGCCTCTTTTAGACCGTGGTTTAGTTATCCATCTACGACGGGGGTTCTACCATCCATACATTCATTTCAGTATTACTGTTTGTAATGTTAGTATATGAAAATAACGAATAACATTAAATGTAAATAACCACGCATAGTGTTGTTTACTGTCAATTCTTGATTGTTGCGTTCTTAAAGGTTAAAGCTTAGATATTTATCGTTTTAATCTCTTTTTATCTGACAAATAACGGGTCTAATTTCGGTTTATTGCAATTACTATCGCTTGTTTGCAAACAATGAATGGAATCATGTGATGAAATTTTATGCTTGTGAGTAATAAGTGACGATGTCTTTGTTTGCTAAATTCTTTCGAGGTTCTTTAACTTAATTTTTTTGGTATCAGCGAAACTTGTGACTAAAAATGAGAAAATGCAAAAGAACCGGTGATAAAAGTTTAGTCTCTATGTATGGCTGTAGCATCAAATGAATGAACCGATTAGATTAATTGGATTTCCAATACTTTTTTAACTTTTTTTAATGTATTTAGGGAAAACTGTGGTATCTCTCTATGTTAAACCATTTTGGAATACGGTCAGGTAGTGCAATTTGGAAATTTAATACAATTTATACAGCCAACTCCTGAAATACTTAAAGTTGTTGTGATTCAACATGGTTTGAATCAATATATTACTTTCATTTTTTGTGTTACTTGCAATACCTATTTATATAGTACTTGTAATAAAAAGTATTAAAAAAACTGATAGTTTAAAAACAATAATCTCCTAGAAATCTATCGTCAGCTGGCATTGGTCGGCAGGGTTTATTTTCTTGTAATGACTTACATTTTCGTAAGGTGTCTTCTCTGATTATTTCATTCATCGAACATGGCAATGATTTTAAAACAAAGAAAACATTATAATAATGTGGTTAGAAATATCGTCATCTGTTACTAACAGGTAGGACTTCGAAAAAGCAAAATATCCAATCAAAGTAATACATATTTAGGTACAAAACTTTTCTTCTTTAAACCAAACAGAGAACCACAATAAAATTCCCCTTAATTCCCTAAATGTTTCGAAAGTATAGAAAAAAATTACTATGTTTTTGCCGTTGTGCTGTCTATTAGGCAAAAATACAAATGCTCGTTAAAAAAAATAAACAATAGGTCGTTTTTTTCAATACAATTTCAATGAGATATCATTGATATCTTTGTGCTGTATAGAAAGATCGCTCAACATCCACAGAGAAAAGAAGCGTAAATTTAAAAAATATCGCTATCTGTTTAAATTCCTTTTACTAGTTTTTAGTTTATTTCTCTAATCAATTCTTAATCAGGATTTCTCTCTAAAACTTTGTCTTATTTATTGGGAATTACTTCTACTAATTCTGACTTAATCAAGAATTTCTAAAGACTGCTATTAACAAATTTCGTTATTTCAGTCTAGTAAGCGTATTTATTATTTTAAATTCATTTTCATCAATAAAATTTAACTCTGACGAATGCTGTGCATTTTCAACGATCAGCTTCGGCAAGCGTTTCTTTACCTTTTAGACCCTTTCTATTCGTATATAATCAGATAAAGGAGAACTTTCAAAAATTAATTTTGTATAAAAATCTAAGCTCTTTAATTTAACAGTAATAAGAACAAATCAATTATAGTACACAACTCTAAAAACAATAAGATTTTTCAATATAATTATTTAGTTTAAATGTATCCAAACCGCATTAAGTAATTTGCAAATTTTTTAAATTTAATCGTTATACATATGTATGATCCCGCGATTTTAGATGAGGTATTATCGATTCTGTGTAACTTACTTCTTTGAAATATACTCTACCTATTCGTATCTCTGGTTACTAAGCTTAAATAAATATAGTCGGACAGTAATAGTGCGTTGATCTCTGTATTCTTATAATAAACGGGCATCTTTTGTTCAACAAGATGTTATTCATAATCTTGCCCAAAATCAATGAACCCGAGTGAAGTAATTATTGATATAGGACAAAAGTTAGTATTAGCTGCCAACCAGCATATTATGTATGTAACTCAAGTTTTTTCACAGACAATTCGTCGGACGTGTCCAGATCCGTGCTCTTGTACGATGACGCACATCGTATCTGACACAGCGGGTGCCGTGATTCCACTCATTACGGTAAACTGTGCCTATAAAAAATTGGAGTCCCCGCCTGCTTCGCTCCCACCAGGCACCACCACACTTCGACTTGAGGGCAACAAGGTAACATGGTACGAAGATTGTTTTGATGTTTGCAAAAAGCTTCTTGCAATTAACGTTGTGTGTAGAAATTCAGAAAATAGTGTAGCGTAATAAATAAAAATATTTTTTACTTATAATTAAGTTTAGAAATAATTTTTTTAATTGACTTACAAAAAAACCAGTGATTAATAGCACGCACGCACGCAGCACGCATGCATTAAACTACGAAATTAAACATCATTTCATTTGGTTTTCTTTTCTATTTCAGTTAATCAAAGTACCATTCCAAATTATCTATACAATTTTGACATTTTGATAGCAGTTTGTTTATCCCTTTACTGTAAAAGTCTGCTGGACGGGAGGCGATGAAGTCAGCGAAAGCGTTTTGTACTTTGTCTCGGTTGTTAAATTTTTTCCCACTTAAAAAATGGTCTAAATTTCGATAAAAGTAGAAATCTGTTGGTTCAAGGTTTGGTGAGTAGCTTCTTGTAGCTTTGCGATGGTCTGTCGTAAGAAGCTATGATGTACAAGTTCAGTACTGGTCCACCAGACAGTCACCATCATCTTCTTATGGGTAATCTTTTTTTTAACGCACTGATTATGTGCTGTACCCAGGTCCACCCACTGAGACGACCGCTTATGGTTATCGTACAGGATCCACTTTTCATCGCAGATAACAATTCGATTCACAATTTCCTCGTTTCTATGCCGATTCAGTGATGCTGTGCATGCTACGACCTTATTTAGCTTTTTCATCTTTCCGATTTGACGCAAGTGCTTCAATGTTGTTTTGACACTGACTCTAGCTCGCATCAAACTCAGACAAAGATTGAGGTGGATCCGCCGCCGAAAAAAGTGTTTATGCAAGCAGTGTTAGGCCCGTGGGGTGCGTGGTCCGGAACCTCCTTGTGGGGGGTGCGTGGTCCGGAACCTCCTTGTGGTGCACCCTGGGTAACGGAGACGGCAGCGCCTCTCTCCCTAGGTGGGGGAGGCGCTGCCGCCTGCGGCCAATTCCGGCCGAGGTGGGAACGGCCCGTCATGGGGCCCCTTTGGAGGGCGCCCCCCCTGGCCCCGTTTTTAAGGGGGGGGCCTGGGGGGGGGGCACTCCGCGTCCGTCCGGGTGGGGGCCCGGAACGAAGGACCCGCCGGCCAGGGCCCCCCCCATAACTGGGGACGGGCCTCGGGGCCGGGGGCAACCCCTTTAAAAGGGGGGGGGGACCCGGCGGTGGGCCCCCCGGGGGGCCCCAACCCCAATGGCCCCGGGGGGGGTTTTTTTGGTCCCCCAAAAAACCCCCTAAAAAAACCCCGCCCCCCCAAAAAAAAAAGGGCTGACCCAAAATATTCCAAAAGGGGGGGCCCCCTGAACGAAAAAAAATCGACCAAAAGGAAACCCTTTCCCGGGGCCGGGGGGCACATTTTTTAAACCCCCCCAAAAAACCCCGGGGGCTATCTATTTTGGGAGAAAAAATTTTAAACCCCCCTAAATAAATCCCCCTTTTTTTTAAAAAAAAAAAATATTTTGGGGTTTTAAAATCCAAAGTAGGGAATAATATTCTCATTAAACCAAAAATAAGGCCAAAAACGTCAAATTTCCTGAAGACAATTGGGGCCCTTTTGGGAAAAGAAAATGCCCCAACCCCAAAAAAAAGGGGTGGGGGGGGTTTCCCCCCCCAGGTCCCAAAACCCAATTTTTCCCTTTTTTGGAAAAAATTTGGAATTTTTTTTAAAAAAAAAAAAGGGGGGGGAAATTAAAATTTTTTTTTAAAAAAACCCCCCCCCAAAAAAAGGGAAAAAAAAAATTTTTTTTTTTTTTCCCCCCAAAAAAAGGGGTTAAAAATTCCCCAAAAAAAAAAAAACCCCCCCAAAAAAAAAAACCCCAAAATTTTTTTTTTTTTTTTAAAAAGGGGGTTTTGGGTTTTTGGGGAAAAAAAAAAAAAACCCCCTTTCCCCAAAAAATTTTTTTTTCCCCCAATTTTTTAAAACTTTTGGGGGGGTTTTCCTTTTTTTTGGGGCCCCCCCCCCCGGGGGGTTTTTTTTTGGGGGGAAAACCCCCGGGTTTTTTTTGGGTTTTTTTTGGGGGGCCCTTTTTTTTTTTTGGGTTTTTTCCCTTTTTTTTAAAAAACCCCGGGGGGGAATTTTTTTTTAAAAAAAAAAAAATTTTTCCCCGGGTTTTTTTTGGGGGGAAAAGGGGGGGGGCCCCCCCCCCCCCTTTTTTAATTTTTTCCAAAAAATTTTTTTTTGGGGTTTTTAAAATTTAAATTTTTTCCTTTTTCCCCCTTTTTTTTAAAAAAAAATTAAAAAAAAATTTTTTTCCCTTTTCAAAAAAAAAAATTTTTTTAAAAACCCCCCTTTTAAAAAAGGGGGGGCCCCCCCTTTTTTTGGGGGGTTTTTCCCCCCCCAAAAAAAAAAAAATTTTTTTTTTGGGGGGGGGGTTTTTTAAATTTTAAAAACCCCCCCCTTTTTTTCCCCCCGGGTTTTTTAAAGGGGGAAAAAAAAAATTTTTTTTTTAAAAAAAGGAAAAAAAAACCCTTTTTTTTTTTTTAAAAAAAATTTTTTTAAATTTTTTAATTAAAAAAAATTTTTTTTTAAAATTTAATCCCCCCCCTTTTCCCCCAACCCCCCCCCCTTTTTCAAAAAAACCCCCTTTTTTTCCCCCCAAATGGGGGGCCCCTTTGGGGCCGGGGGGGGTTTCCCGGGAAAAAAAAAATTTTCCCCCGGGGGGGGCCCGGGGTTTCCCCCCCCTTTTGGCCCCGGAAGGGGGGGGGCCCCCCCCGGGGGGGAAAGGGGAAAAGGGGGGGAAACCCAAAAACCCGGGGGGAAAACCCCCCCGGGGGGGGGGTTTGGGGGGGGGGGGGGGGGCCCCCCCGGGGGGGGCCGGGGGGGGGGCCCCCCGGGGGCCCCCGGGGGGGGGCCAGGGGGGGCCCCCCCCCGGGCCCCGGGGGGGGGAAACGGGGGGGGGGGGCCCCTTTTTGGGGGGGGCCCCCTTTTTCCCCCCCGGGGAAGGGGGGGCCCCCCGGGGGGGGGGGGGGGGTTTTTTCCCCCCGGCCCCCCCCTTCCCCCCGGGCCCCCCCCGGGGGGGCCCGGGCAAACCAATTTAAAAGGGGCCCCCCCAAAAAACCCCCGGGGGCCCCCCCCGTTGGGGCCCCCGGGGGCCCCCGGGTTTTGGGGGGGCCCCCCAAACAAGGGGGCCCCCCCAAACCCCCCGGGGGGAAAAAAAGGGGAAAAGGGAGGGGGGGGGTTTTTCCCCCCCTTTTCCCCCCCCCCAAAACCCCCCAAAAAAAAGGGGGGGAAACCCGGGGGGGGGCCGGGGCCCCCTTTTGGGGCCCCCCCCGGGGGGGGGGGGCCCCCCGGGAAAGGTTTTGGCCCCTTCCCCCCCCCTTTTTAAAAGGGGGGAAAAAAAACCCTTTTCCCAAAAGGGGGGCCCCGGGAAAAAACCGGGGGAAAACCCCTTTGGGGAAAAAACCAAAAACCCCCCAAAGGGGGGGGCCCCCCTTTTTTGGGGGGGGGAAAATTTTTGGGGGGAAAAAAAAAACCCCCCCAAAATTTCCCCAACCCCCGAAAAAAAAACCCCCCCGGGCCCCCCCCGGAAAACCCCCCAAAGGGGCCCCCCCCCGGGGGGGGGCCCTTCCCCCCGGGGCCGGGGGCCGGGGGGGCCCCCCCCCAAAACCGCGGGGGGCCCCCCCCCCTTTTTTTGGGGCCGGAAAAGGGGGGGCCCCGGGGGGGAGGGGGGGTTGGGCCGGGGGCCCCCCCCCCCCGGGGGGGGTTTTAAAAAACCCGGGGGGCCCCCCCCGGGTCCGGGCGGGGGGGCCCCGGGGGGGGTTTGGGGGGGGGGGGGGCCCCCCCTTTTTTAACCCGGGGGAAACCCTTTCCCCCCGGGCCCCCAAAAAAAAAAGGGGGGGAAAAAAAATTTCCCCCCCAAAAAAAAAAAAAAAAAAAAAAACCCCCCCCCCCAAAAAGGAAAAAAAGGGGGAAAACCCCTTTTTCCCCAAAAAATTTTAAAAAAAAAAACCCTTTAAAAAAAGGGAAAAAAAAATTTTTTCCCCAAAAAAAGGGGGCCCCCTTTCCCCCCAAAAAAAACCCCCCCAAAAACCCCTTTTTCCAAAAAAGGGGGGCCCATAAAAAAAAGGGTTTCCCCCAAAAAAACCCCCAAAAAAAATTTTTTGGAAAATGGGGGGGGAATTTTCCCCCCCCCAAAAAAAAACCCCCCAAAAGTAAAAAAAATTTCCCTTTTGGGGGGGGAAAAAAAAAAAAAAAAAACCCCTTTTTTTTAAAATTTTTTAAAAAAAATTTTTTTTTGGGGGGGGTTTTTTTTTTTAAATTTTTTAAAAAATTTCTTAAAAAAATTTTTTTTTTTTTTAAAAAACCCTTTTTTTTTAAAAAAAAAAAGGGGGGAAAAAATAAATTTTAAACCCCCCAAAAATCCCCCAAAACCCAAAACCCATTAAAAAAGGGGGAAAAAAAAACCAAAAAAAAAAAAAATTTTTAAAACCCCCCCCCAAAAAAAAAAAATTTTTTTTCCCAAAAAAAAAAAAACCCCAAAAATCCCCTTTTTAAAAAAAATTTAAAAAAAAAAAGGGGGGTTTTTTGGGGGGGCCCCCCCCTTTTTTCCCCCCCAAAAACCTTTTTTAAAACCCCCCCCCCATTTTTTTTTCCCCCCCCCCCCAAAAAAGGGGGGGAAAAAAAAAAAAAACCCCCCCCCCCCGGGGGGAAAAGGGGGGGGGGGGACGCCCCCCCCGGGGTTAGGGGAAAGGGGGCCCCCGGGCCCCCCCCCAAAAGGGTTTTTCCCCCTTGAGAGGGTCGTTGGCTCCCTGTTCCCAACGCGAGTGGTGGAGCATACTCCGCCACAGATGGCTCCGCCTCCGGAGCTTGAGGCGCCTAACGTGGATGACGACGACGTGCCTGAGGTCACTGGGGTGGAACTAAGGGTGGCGGTGTTACGGCTTAAAGCCAAAAACACCGCCCCGGGACCCGATGGCATTCCTGGCCGAGCATGGGTCCTGGCCTTAGTCGACGAGGCTCTC